AAAAAATTTCTTTACTTTGAGCCCCCAAGAGCTGGAATAGACTCCTTCCAGAAGTGGTGCAGGCACCTATTCTGGACTCATTCAAGAAGCGTTTGGATGTTTATCTTGCTGGGATCCTTTGACCCTAGCTAACTTACTGCCCCTGGGGCAGGGGGCTGGACCTGATGATCTGAGGCCCCTTCCAGCCCTAACGTCTATGAAACTATGAAAAAAACCCCAAAAACCCCAGTGATGAAAAGATTAACATTTTTTTCACCAGGGCCTGTGACTCGTTGTCAGTCATATCTGCTGCCAGTAGTAGAAACTCCAAGCAGGCTGCTGCCAAGTTGTTCATCTGACATTTACACTTGTTCCATTAGTGTCCAATTTACAAGCTTTGAGATGAGGATCATTCTTTTGAAAGATTCCCTAACTTAGCATTGCTACGATGCAATGAGATGTTTAAAACTAGGGGTGCACCAATAAAGATTTTGGCTGACACCAATAGCTGGCTATTAACCAGCCATATTGGCAATACCGATCCAATAACCAGTTTACAGGAATGCAGCTCGGCAGCATAGAAAGCAGCTCTCTGCAGGTATGTTTGTGGAGGGGAAGGGGCATGAGGGAGGAAAGGGGCATGGGGTGGGGCAGACTGAGGCCCCCCAAGATGAGGGAGGGAGTGGGGCAGGGGCTGAGAGGGACAGAGCCATGGGCAGCTCGTCCAGGGGATCAGCATCCCAGCACTTAAAAATGGTGTTGGGAGCACTTAAAATAAGTCTCATTCAACGAGCTTTAGTTTAAGCACCACTGCAACCATTTTTAAGCATGGGGATGCTTTTAATAGGAGCAGATCCAGCGGGACAAGGACAGGTGTAGGCTGCTCACTGTGGGCTCGAGGCTCTCCACCCTGCTGCCTTTTCCCCTGGGGCCTTGTGCTGGCCATGTGTCCTCTGCCCATCCAGCAGTGGGGAGCACAACTTACTGCCCTTGCTGTTGCCAACCAGGCAGGGGGCATGTAGCCAGTGTGGGACTCCTGAGGGAAAAGCAGCAGAGCAGACAGCCCCGAGCACACAACAAGCAGCCCACATATGCCCTGTGAACATATCTGGGGGCAGGGGGGCACATGCCCCCGCATGCCTCCTCTGGTGGGGATGCACACAGTGGCAGGGAGCCATCCCCACTCCCCATCCCCTCTTGCAGCTCCGTCATGCTTCCCACCCTGGGTCCCATTCACTGCCCTGGCTAGGCAGCCCCCACAGCCCTACTCCCTCCCTCACTGTGGGGGCCTTGATCTGCCCCTCCCAACACCTTCCCATCTACAGACTTGCATGCAGGTTGCTGCCCTCCACACTACCCAGCTGCATCCCTGGCCATGAGCATGCATGCAGCTGCACACATGCACACGATGTCCAAGGGCTGCAGCCAGAAGGAATATTGCATTTATCAGTGAACGTTAATTGGATACACTGGTCAAAAAATAAAAAAAACCCGATAGCCAATAAGGTTAATTATCTTTTTATTGGTGTTGATCCGATATGCCAGGGGTTGTCAACTGTGGATATGCATACCCCTAGAGGTACTTGGAAAGGTCATAGGGGGTATGCGTGGGCAGGGATGGAGCACGGTGGTAGAGAGAGGGAGAGGGCAGCAGCACCCCTCTGCAGATGGATGTGGGGCAGGAGGGCTTGCACGTGGTGGCCACTGCCAACACCCTGTGGTGCCCGCTACCCCATGCCACTGCCTTCCAGGAGCAGGGCTGGGGGGGAGGGGGTGGCAAGGGCAGCAGTGCCCTGCTGTGGGCCGCACAGGCACCGCATAGCTGGTGCGCAATCGACCAGGTGCGAGGCCCGTCAGCAGCCCACGGAGCTGCACGGGAGACCAGCCATAGAAAAGTGATGCACAGTGGGTGACAGTGGTGACCACCCAGTGCAAGCCCTGCCCCCTCCCCACCCCCCAGCCACAGCCACCACAAGGGGTAGACTTGTTAAAAAAAGGTTGAAAACACCTGTGGTGTGCAAACAATATTGCAACAGGGTCCCTGTTAGAAACCCTGTTACTTGGGGAAAATCCTCAACACCTGGGGGGAAGACTCCCCACCCCTGCACGGGCAACCAATGACAAACAAGCTTTAGGGGTAAAAGAAAGGGAAAGCCCCGAAGAAAATGCCTTCAGGCACCAGGCAAAGCAGATGGATGACGGAACTTGGAAAAAGAGAAGAGAAGAGAACTTGCCAGAGACCTGGATGGATCCCAGGAAGGGGCGAAGCTCAGAGGTATTCAATACATGCAAAACAGAGATGCAGAGTGACAGATCCCTGAAGGATGCAGTAGGGCGACACCCAGGAAAAGTCGTCTATCCGGTAAATTCCATGGCACCAGGGAAGGTGGGGCAAGCAGAGGCATAAGGTGGGGGATCCCTGAAGGGAGTGGCAGACAATGGCTGAAGAGGCACCGTGGGGTTTGCCGGCAAGGTGGTGAGGAGCACAGGAAAAGGCGGAGGCGTCAGGTGGCGGATCCACCGCAACAAGCAAGTGTTGCTAAACAGTCTCTTAATGAGGGAGAGGGCCATTCCTGGGCCAGAACCCAGTAGAACTGGGGCATCTAGGGACACTAGAAGCCAATCCTCAGGCTCTCCCTAGGTTCTTGCACCAATGTAGAGCAGGGAATGCAGAGGGTGCCCACCACTAATGAGGCAATTAGCAGCAGCATACAAAGCTTGGGCGGGGAGACTCCTCGTTTTTCTTTAAAGACTTATGAGCAAACGAGCGGGGATTGCATTTTGAATACTCTGTGTGGAGGGAGCAAGCCAAAGACTCCCTATGTGATCAGGCAGTACGAAGTAAAAGCTGCCCAACACCCAAACTACTAACTAGACAATTAACCCCATTGAGCCACCTGCCGACACTTATCTGAAAGATCCAGCAGCTGCAGGTCTCCTCTTAAGTCCCTGTGTGATCCAGTGAGAGACTCAAGCTGGTTGCCGCCTCCAACTTGGGCCACTATAAGTAAGAAGATAAAAACAGTAATAAAGTGCATTGATCAACGTAACAGGTTGGGACTGGTCATTCTGCAGGTACCAACTAACATCTCAATAATTCCTTTCCTCCCTTCATAAGAGCCAAGTCGTGGCAGGCAAGAACCAGAGGAACAGGTGATATCCCGATAACAGATATTATTAACCAATCCGTTTGAAACTATTACCTGCATTACCTGACACTTGACCAAATAAATGCATCAGGATAACGGTTCTCACCCAGAGTGATGCAAGACCCTTTTAGGGGTGCTGCAGCACAGGTGCTACTGACAACTAGGCAATAGTACCCTGCATGCCTTATGCACTGCCAAACTGAGAAGGGCTGTTACACAGATAACCCCAGTGGAGGCAGAAGGGCATAACTGATGAGCCTAAAGCAGGCAGAAGCAGTTGCTCTTCCTGGTCTCTCCATCATCTCCTCCTCTGAACCCCAGAAAGAGATATGCAGGACAGTTCCATCTGCCCTATGTGCCTCTGTTTTCAGGAGATGGGGCTGGACCAGGAAGGGCATATTTTTAGGGTCATCAAATAAACCCAGTGCAGGTGGGAGAAAAATTAAGGTGTCACTAATGAAAAAGAAAAAGGTTATAGAGGGAGCCCTGAATTTAAAAGTTTGAGAATAACTACATTTGGACTTCAGGTTTGATCAGGTCTCCCCCCACCCACCTCCAAAAAAAGTAACTTACTTCCAAATAGTTAGGGACCAGTAAATTTTAGTTTAAAAAATGGGTTTCTTAATTTATTATGCTCATCCAATTCCTCAACCTCAGCTCAAGGATATGTAATGCAAGTAAGGGCAAAACCCTCCCAAAAATTCAGTGGCATTTGCAAAAAGGATTGCTCAGCAACATTTGGGAAAATAAATGGCATGACAACGTGAAAGACTGATTGGCTGCATCAGAAAAATTGACCTGGATGATAGATGCCCATGCATGTGCACAGCCTGTGTGCTGCGCTATGGCAGCAAGGAGCACAGCCCAGCAGTGTGAAGATCTGTGTGCAGCTGGTAAGTCTGGTGTGGTAGAAGGGGCAGGGGGGCAGATCAATGCCCCCTGCGGTGAGGGAGGGAGGGGGCAGGGGTAGGAGCTGCCCAGCGAGGGTGGGGTAAGAGCAGGATGGAGCTGCAGCTTGTTTGGGGGGTGGCAGGGGTGGCTCCCGCTGCTGTGCACACCCTGAGGGCACGGGGGTGGGGTGCCCCTGGATCTGCTCAGGGCTGGGCTAGGCTCTTTTTGGGGGGGAGGGGGGGCCCTCTGGGCAGGTGGTGGCAGCGCTGGGAGGAGGCTATGGGGAGTGCTGCAGCCACCCCAGATTTTGCCACACACCGCTCCCAACATCGCCGCTGCTTGCCCAGCGCAGCCCTGGTTCAATCCTCTGCACACGCTCCAGGAAGAGCTGGGCTGTGCTGGGTAGGCGAGCAGCAGCAGCCCTGGGAGTGGAGCTATGGTAGTGGGGGAGCTACACTGAAATTTGGGGTGGCTGCAGCCCACTCCCAGCACTGATACTGCCCACCCCAAGTCCACCCCCTGTCAAGAGCCCAGTCCAGCCCCAGCTCCAGCCTGCCCATCCTGCCCTATGCAGATATAGGGGCACATGCCCCTGCCTACCATGCCCTCCCAGGTTGCGCACAGCAGCAGGAGCCAACCCTTTCCCCCAAAACGAGTTGCAGTTCCATATCGTGCCCCATCCCACCTCAGCTGGGCAACGCCCTGCCCCCTCCCTCCTTCACTGCAGGGGGATGTTGACCTGCCCCTTCCACTACACTAGGCTTACCAGCTACACCCAGCTGTATCAGAAAATTGGATTACTATCAGTCCCGACATGCCTCCTTAAAATACCAGCCGATTGATATCTGCCCCCAAAAATCTCCACTGGTGCACCCCTAGAAAGCAGCTAATAGTAACAAAAAGATGTCACTCCATCTTCATTCACCCAACTTCTAGAAGTAGTGTCATTCAGCACACAGAGCATGCAACACACAAAACAGCTGTCTTGGACAGCATCTTTATTTAAAACTTGATACACAGACATAGCAGCATTTACATAAAGGGATTTTAAAAAGGCATGAAATTGTAAGCCAACAGTTTGAAAAGAGGCTCTAAATTTTAGTCTTCCACAGCTAGCTATAACCACAGACTACTGATGCCTATTTGTCCAGACTTGGTGGAATAATCCCAGGTTATCCAAGGACAGACAGACACAGCTGCAGTTCTCAAATTTCAAGCCTTTTCTCTGAACAGTTGGTCACATCAAGTATCACCCTCCTTAGCAGCATTTGGAGCACTCTTCGGTGTTCTTTTAAGTGGCTGGTATACTTGATCCATTTATTTAAAAATATCTATATTCAATAAAAACCATTTCACATAAAAACTCTTCTGAAACAAAAATGCAAGTTTCCTTTTGAGAATCCATAAAAGCTTATAAACTTCACTGGCAGCATTTCTGTAATGGAGCAGGAGTAAGAACCATCAAAACAGGCACTTCAGCAAAATTGTCTCTGATTTTAAAAAGTCTGCATAGTCATATTGGCTTCTGCCCGGTAGACTGTTTCTTACTACTCTGTGGTGGTGTGAGGACACCAGTGGGTAAAGGAGAAGTCCTATTTTGCTCAGCCAATGTGGCCTGTTTTGCTTGAGCTTTGTCCTTAAAATTGAGAGAAAAAAAAGTTAGCATTTTAAAACCAACACTGGTATACCAACACTATTAAAGCAAAATGAAGAAGATGCACTATGGCTTATATCACAAAGCTATGATTTACACAAATTTAAGCCCTCTGTAGGTTTTGCCAACATACCACTTAATACCTATACCAAATTACTGAATTTATTGCAAAGCCAAGAAACATACTCTATTAGTTAATAAACAACTGGTGACAGAATAAGTCTGGAGTAATTCAATGGTGCTAATTCTATAGCCATAAGTTGCCTAAGTAAAATTTGCCAGTTTTCTTCAGGTAATATAGATCCCGTTCCAGAGTACAACTTGCAGTCCTATACAAATGTACAAAAAAAACTCACAGGAAGAGATGTTTTATGACTAACATTTAATTAATGAACGTAAGCCATGACACAGAATCAATCAATGCCATCAGTTTTGGGGGTTCGCTACACAAGCATTAGGTATTTGTCGTTAGAGTCCAAGATGGTAAATTTCAATAGCTATCAAGCTACTGAAATTTTTGCTTCCCTGCCTGCCATCTGACACCTCCAGGGAAGGAATGCTACCTGATCAACACATCAAAGAGCTACTCAACACAGCTCACAAAGACATTCTCACGGACCCAGAAGGACAGACTTACATCTTCAGCTCCCTCTGTGCAATAATGAAGTTTATTTCCTACCTATGGGGACTTTTTACCTTCTTGTACCATCTACACTTTTCCCAGGGCCTGACAAAGGGACTTTGATCCCAAAAGCTTGCAGAAAAGGACAATTTTCTTGCCATTTTCCAGTTGGTCTAATAAAGAGGTATCATTTTGGAACCAAGAGTTCTAGTTTTTTTGTACGTCTAGCAGCCATCAAGATCATTCTAAGAGGTTTTTAAAGTCTACTATGATAAATCACATGAAATGACAGAATTAGTGACTAATCTCCCTTCCCAAATTACAGCAAGGCACATGCAACTGTAATTCCATTAACCACCTGCAGATTACCATTTCAGTACACGTTACTTTACTTATTGGAGCAGTTAATTGACAGTAGTATCTTTGGATCACAAAATATTGATGATACTGGACTATGCTAAGTGACAGTTTAGTTCAGGGACGGGCAATTATTTCGGGCGGAGGGCTGCTTACTGAGTTTTGGCAAGCCATTGAGGGCCACATGACAGGCAACCAGGGGCAGGTAAATATTAGTTTTCTAAATTTTTAGGGGCCCTGCGGACCAGATAGAATGGCCTGGCAGGCCGCATCTGGCCCGCAGGCCACATCTTGCCCACCTCTGGTTGAGTTAGTGGGGCAAGAAGAGATCATTTAAATAACTAAAAGCAGCCTTTCAAAATAGATAAATTTAAAGTTTCATTTGTTCCAAGTTTAGTGAACCTACTACAGTTTTTCTATATACTTTTTGGATTCCCAGCAGGCAAATAGAAAAAAAGTTAGTGAAATAGTAGAAAAGAGTTAGTGAAAAGAAAGCTAGACTAGATTTCTGTGTCACATATCAGTGAAATTGTAGCTTAGCAAAATACAGCCTAGTGCAATTGTTTGTGCTACGGTATCCTCTAGTGACCCCAGTTGGGATCACACCCCTTTTGTGCTAGGCACCAAGTAAAAAAGGACAGTCTCTGCCCCAGGCATGCTGCAGTTCAAGTACAAATTTATACAGTCGAAAACTTTGCGTCTAAAAAGTGATATGCAACATTTATTTAAGGATTTAAACTTAAGTGTTTGGTTTATGAACTTGCCTTCTTATGCCATATCAAGCTAGACTGTACACTTCAAATTGTAAAGAACACAGCTTTTGTCTCTAGTGAGCATACAGAATCAAAACCCCCCCCAAAAAAACAAACAAAAAAAACCACATACCAGCAAGTCCAAGCTGTTTATGTGCGTCTGTATGTTGTGCAAATCTTCAGGAGCTATACCTCTGAAGTGTTTGAGTTTGGAGCTTCCCACTTCCCTTATAGCCATAGCAAATGGAACCATCCATTTTACACATTCTTCTATGTCACACCATTCATAACCTGTGAGATAGAGGTATGTGAGCTTCAGGTCTAAGAATTTGACCAACTTTTTCTTTTTTTTTTTTTTGTTGTTTTTGTTTTTTTAATTAAGATGTTATTTACCTGAAACCTTTTGCATCAGTTCAGAGGAAGAGAAGTGGTACAAAGCAGAAGCAGCAAGCACTCCATATGTATATTCCAAGCAACCAATATCCAGCACACAGAGATCCAAGAGCTATACAGGGAGAAGGCCTTGTAAGTGACACATCTTTGCAAGAATTGTACAATGTGTGGAGGATGAAGTCATCCTTACCTCTGCTATTTGTACAAAGATTTGCTGGGGATAGTGTGGCAGCAACACCTCATAAAGCTCATTTAGATATGCAACTTGCATGTAAATATTTAGCCATGATACAATTGTCAGTGGACCTAAGTTCCAATTAAGAGCCTGAAAAAGAGGCACAAAGAACTTCCATATCAACTGAAACAGACAAGCTTCTGAAGAAGCAACTGCAGCATTTGAAATCCTTACCTGGTAGAAGACTACCACTGTCACTTGGTGTAGTGATGCTCAAGAGATTAATTCAGCAGAACTGAACTGTCCCATCTAGAAATCAAGTCACCTTGCCTGAAGCATTTGTGAGGTATGCTGTTATGATGTATTATTTCCCACACACTAATGAAGCATAGTTACACTATGCGGTATGGAGCACAAATTTTTAACTACAGAAAAAGCTCCACAATAATACATTATAATAAATCATTGTAGCTGTGCTGTAGACTATGATTACACCATGCTTTGCTCCTTACAGGAGGGTTACTAGTTATAATTTCATAAGCTACCTTCATAATGATCAGTTCCATACTGAGAATTTCATCTTCTGTACAAGCCCCATCTGTAACGTAAGCAAACTGGTGCAACTTTGGTGGATAGATTTCCTGGAAAATAAAACATCCAATTTATAGATTCAAGAAGTATGAAGTAGATAGTTCCACATGTAGAAACCAAACACTTGCGGCCATGTAAATCTTGACTTAATCATGCACCTTGGCTTATGTGAAAGTCAAAGAAACAATTATTTTTGCCAATTAAGTGTCCAACTGAGATAACACGTTTTTAGCTCACAACTTCCATCTTCCATTTTTTGATGGATCAGTGCATGCTAAAGTAGATGCAAAGGATGTGTCATGGTCCTTAACTTACATACCAACTAAAATGAAGGAAAAGAGCTTTAAATATAATCACTTCAATCTTGAATGGTCTATTTCAGGGGTCAGCAACCCCGGCACATGTACCGAACATGGCACGCGAGGCCATTTTGCTCAGCACGCCACAGCCAGCCCTGGCTCTGGGTAGCTGCTGCCAGTGATGGAGCCTGGGCTGCTCCCAGCAGGGCTTGAAGCATCCCAGCTGCTTGCTGGGAGCAACCCGGGCTCCCGGCTGGCAGCAGCTACCCAGAGCCTCGGATGGCTGCAGCCGGGAGGCTCCAAACAGCTGTGCTGTGCTCCGGCATCAGCTCCATACCAGCATGTGCACCCGCGTGTTGGAGCGGGTGGTGGTGGGGGAGGAGGGGCCTGAAGCAGCACAGCCCTGGTCTCTCCCCAGCTCCTGGCACAGAGGCAAGAGCAGGGTTCTGGAGCCCAGCGCAGCTGTTTGCAGCCAGCCTGGGCTCTGGGCAAGTGCAGCAAGCAGGCTGCAAACAGCTGCGCCAGGCTCCAGAACCCTGCTCTCCTCCGTGCCGGGAGCAGGAGAGAGACTGGGGCTGCGCTGCCTCAGGCCCCTCCCTCACTGCCCACTCCAACACGCGGGTGCACACACCAGTAGGGAGCCAATGCCAGAGCCCGGTGCAGCTGTTTGGAGCCTCCCGGGTGCAGCCGGCCAAGGCTCTGGGTAGCCACTCCAGGCTGCTCCCAGCAGGAAGCTGGGATGCTGCAAGCCCTGCTGGGAGCAGCCCTGGCTCCAGCAGCTACCCAGAGCCTGGGTAGCTGCTGGCAGCCACAGAGCCCAGGCAGGGCATCCTGCCATGTAACCCTTGCCCTCATTTTGTTGTTCTGGCATGCTGGCACTCCAGCACCTTCCAAGGTAGGCATTGTGGTGTTTTCCAGCACTCCAGCCAAAACATGTTGCCGACCCCTGGTCTATTTTAATGTCTCGGACGAAAATCCATTAAGAACAGTTTCTGTTTAAGGACCAACTTGACCCAGCAGGCTTTTCAGGATCCCCACCATTATAAATCTTATGCCCAACCAGATGTAGTACAGAAAGCCTGTCACCCTAGAACTCATCTGGTCCGAGTAGCAAGCTACATATGGGCACTTTTAGATGTGCTCTGGGACCAGGGGACGCTTTAATTAGAGAAGCTGTCGAGAGCCACGCTAATGAAAGTGCCTGCAGTACCTCATATATTCAGCAGTCTGCATTTCAAAATGGTGGTGAGGACACTTTAAATAAACCTTGTTTGACAAGCTTTAGTTAAAGTGCCCTGCCACCATTTTGAAGCACAAGGATGACAAATACATGAGATGGCAAGGCTGCTGGAGTGTGCCAATTAGCATATTCAAGCAGACTTGATGAACTGAATCTGCTCTGATGGGCTACAATTACAGCACGTCAGAGCAGATATCCCACACGTCTACAGGCACCCTAATATGATCGAGTGATCACTGGTACCTGGGAGACCATTTAGAATGTTAGACTATTAGCATCTTTACTTCTAGAGTAACTCTAATACAGTCTTTAACTCAAGAGAATAAACGCTTTTCTAAGGTATTGGGCAACTTGGCTTCCCTACCGTTCTGCCCCCTCAACAGGTATAACTTCAACTTCAGCACACAGAAAAGCTCACTAATGAGTTCTTGTGATTTAGAACAAAAGCAAGGATTTGTGCCAGGGAACAGCCCTAGAGAAGGTAGTACATTCCAGAGATTTACACTCCTCTTCACCTTTTAGAGTTAAAGCTCAGGAAAAAAAGTCATTTGGTTTAGTCATTAGGGTTGTTCAGGCAATTAAAAGGATAACTTGAATTATGTCATCCATTTCCACTATTAGCTATGAAAGTACTTTGAAGAAGTGGTCTCTAGTTCCTGAGACCAGCTTTGAAACCTCATAAAATTATCAAGGATAACTAAACGACATGTATGTTAGTCTTTGCAGTATTAGAATATTCCCTAAAATAGGAAGAGAGATATTATACTAAAAGACATTTTCTCATATTAGCCTAGAAAACACTAGAGGGGATACTGTAAAAAAACCTGAGGTCCTTCCTGCTTGCATTAAAAACCAATCACTTAGGAAGAACTTCTGTAAAACAAAGACGAACCTACTATTAACAAAACAAAAACAAACCACAAGCCACCTAGATGGGAAATGCATAGGTAGATTACAAAGTTTTACCTCCAGCTTTGCAGCTATGAATAAAGATGAAATCCCAATAAGCTGCAAGAGGGTTTTTACAACATTTTGTTGTGTTGCCATAAATCGATCAAAGAAATCTTGTGCCAAGTAAAAGGTTTCTCTGTGAAGCTTGTAGACTTCACAAACCTGCAAAAGAAGATTTAATATTAAAATGAACAACTAACATGGTAGCTGGGACACTATGGAAGAAATCTAGTAATCTATAGTTTACACAGTAGCTTTCAGCATCAAGAAAAAGTGAAAAACACATCTTAAGTTGGTTAAGAGACTTAAAATTAAGTGGTCTCAACACCTTGACCAGCCTTTTGCTTTTTGTGGAAGTCAATACCAAATCACACACACACACACCCACCCACCCACATTGAGGTGCTTTTAAAATACAAGAAAGCATCAGGTGCTTTGTTTTGTGCATTTGCAAAGAATCATTTCTTCATTTTCACAAACATGTACACATCCTCCCAACAGTCCAGAGAAGAGAGTGATAAATTTTAGTGCAATTATGAACGGAAAAACAGAATGGCTGTCAATCTTCCAAGCTAAACAGCAAGCTACTGTTAAACATTGGTATTTAACAAAAACATCCTTTCATTCCAAGACTGTCATGTTAGAAAGAACTGTGCGCCACATAATATATACAGACAATATTAGAGTTATGAGATGTTATGAGCCATATCACGGTTCTCAGTTTATTTCACTTCTACATAACCCCCATTTAGGCTCATTTAAGCTAATTCAGGCTAGAACACAATCACAAAATATATATAAACTTTTTTTAAAGTTAAAGTTAAAGGGATAGACGATCACTTATGTTCCATATTTACAAATGTTTTTATAGTACAGTAATATAGCAGTTAAATATGAAAATAAAATTTGATCAGGTCTTGAATGCCTGAAATTTGTGCCATTAAGTTCTCTTTATCTGATACCAAGATACCCCAACCTGTCAGCCTGAGTTAACTAATATTCTGATGCATAACATATTAGGCAAAATTCACAGGTACAGTTCATGTTAGGTGGTTTGTGCAGGGAAAGTGTGGGGGGGGGAGGAATGTTATTCAAAATGCTTCTTCACCAACTTGCAGCATCCTTAGACCGTTAGCAAGAACAGCAAAGCTCACCTCCATTAGCCAATCTAGAAGAATTGTTCTCATTTTAGGTTGCAGGAGCGGGTGCTTTTGCATGTAAAGTTTATCCCTCACATAGGTCTGTTCTTTGTTTATCATGTTTTTCCATACTTCATCTCACACACACACCCTAAGGAAAAAAAAAAAAAAGTATGTTAAAAAGTTTCAAAAAAAAAAAAAACAAACAAACAAAAAAAAAAAACTTTAAAGAGTGAAAAGGAAATTGAAGGGAAAGCAAAGGGGAAATAGTATACTTACCCCAGAACTGGTAACGGAGAAGCTCTGGCTGGAGTGAGGCCCAGGGGTACAAAATGAGAATAACCAATGCTAACAGAGTCATCATCTTTATCAGGTGTTGGGATGAGTGTATGGGGATTTTTGTGGACATCATTATTCCAAGAGGACTGTTAAAGGAAAGAAAATATGTAGCATTGAGCCTGGTTTTATAGTTTTTACGCCTGATGCACAGAGACTACAAGACAGCTCTTTTTAGACAACTAATTAGCACAAACAAGGCAAGGCTTTCAATTGCTGAGTTTAAACAAGTCCAGTTATTTTTCATGTTTTGGGTTTGGAAGGCCATGGATGCCCCATGAAACAAAACAAAGTGTTTTATTTGGGAAGTTCTGTTGCTCTGCTCTTTTTTGCCAAGGACATTTCACATGAAAGAAGTATCTCTGGGAATCTATCCGCTTATTGCCCACCTGAAGTCCTAATCCCTCTGCAATCAGGGCTTCAGGTGGGGAATAAGCAGATGGGACTCCCAGACAAGTGGCCTGCTTTCATGCAAGATGTCATTGGTAATGAGCACAGGCAATGAGGAATTCTAGTTCTATTTTGTCTTAATCTTTCAGAGGTTTTGAGCTACTCATTCATCTCATGACTTGAGAAGACAAAAAGACCAAGCATTTTGTTTTCTACTTAGAATACATTCAACAATTAAGAAAAGCACATAAATGTATGCAGATGCTCTCTCTCAACAGAAATGCGCAACTTGGTCATTCATACAAAGAAGCCAGCAAACAAGCATCTGACATTTCATGCATTACAACTTGTTCTTTTTATTCTGAATAGGACCCAGATCTAGCCTCTCCTTTCCTTTAAAAGGCTTATCTTCATAAACTGAAACTTTAAGAAACATGACACTAGCATAAAAAAAAAAAAAAAAAAAAAAAAAAAAATCACTATTTGAGTTTCTACAAAAGAACTTATTTTCTTTATCTCAGTATCTTCAGGAAAAAAACAAACCAAACAAACATTAAAATTAGAAGCCCCACAAATCACCAGGAATATGCAGATATATTTATTCTAAAACCTGACATTTAAGCTACCACTGTAGGCAGCCATCTTGTTGTAAAGTGCTACACTTTGTAGCACTAGCAGGCTAAAAAGCATTAATACGACTGAAAACAATAATTCCTTGAACTGCTTTAAAGAAATAAAGATTATATAGTATTTTACAATTCACACACATTTTAAGTATTGGAACCTGCGAATCCAAACCCAGGTTCTGCCTTTCTGACAAAGGATGTCCCTTTCCAGCAACATGGCTATACTCAGTACTAAAGTTCAGAGCCAAAAACCACATTTCACAGCTTATTCATAGTGAAAAGTGCTTTGTGCTATTTGAGCCAATAGCTGAGGAAGATGGGCAGCTTTCCTTTATTAAAAAAAACCCCTCTCAATATTATGCATGCAAATTCATCACAGCCATGTGCACAGTTGCATCAATAGCCAAATGCTGCTTTTGCGCTACCATTAATTTTGGGGGAGTGAGAGGTATCATTCAGAGCAAGTGGCTGGCAGACCACCTCTGAACTGAAAGTTTGGGAGTACAAGTATCACATCAGCACTGCTTTAGGTCAATTTTTGTCCAGCTTCTGGGTTTGACTTTAGCCATACTTTGTCTCCTAACTTTATGGCAGGCACAGCTGTCAGTCCTTTGAGAACCTCTCTCATATCAGTTAATCAACAATCAGTGGGTTGGATAAGAGCTAAGGGAGTCACATTATTATGTAACATCTATGAAGTGCCCATCGTGCCAGGCAACCGAAAAAGAGAAGACAGTGCCAGCCTATCTAAAACAGGCCACATGTAAGCAAGAAGAGGTTGAAAGAAACAACAAGATGTGATTTAGTACTGAAGTTCAGGTTTTCACTTTAATAAAGGGAAACCATGCAGGTGCCAGGACATAGTAGCTCAGTGGTCCCCAACTCTGCTGACCTTTGGGCAACAATACTTAGGAAACAGTACTCTCTCTGTAGGCAATGCATCAAACCTTAATTTTTTCTATCAACTTCAATTTTAACTTTTTTAATTGAAATATCCACCATCAACCCAGGGTCTCAGACAACAAATGGCTGGCAAGCCACAGGTCAGAGACCACTTCATTAGGGATTAAATTTTTATTATGTGCTTCAAAAGGAAACAGGAGCAGGGGAAAGCTTTTCAAACTAGATGAAAATACAGGCATGGAGAAAGATCCAGAAACAGGAGTGGGGGAAAGGACACAAAACAGGAAAAAAAAAGTTAGGTATGAAACTTAACAGAGCAAAACAGAACACTGCAGCAAATCAGGGCATGCAGAAGGGGCTAAGTCTTGATGTTGAGATTGCCTGTGAAATGATAGAAGAGGGGCTGTTGTGGAGAGGGTAGCAAGCAAGGTAGTTTATCTTTAAAGGAACTATTTTAGAGAGACTGAAGAACAAGGTAAATATCTGGGGGATGCAAAAATACTTGGAAGGAAAACTCTGACTTAACAAGAGTATGGTGATAGGAAGGGAAGATGACTAAGCAGACTCCGGAGATACTGAAAGTAAGCATAGATTAACTTGATGCTTTTGCTAAATCTAATGTGGGAAGTATCAAAAACTGTGTTACATCAGAGCTGCGACCTTGAGGAACAGGAAAGATTGTTAAATTGCTATCTGCAAAAAAGAAGAGGGTAAGAAGTTTAAGAGTAAAACTGGTTCAAATTTTTGCCATTCTCAGATTAGTTTTACAGAAGGGTCAGCCCTCAGATGCAGGAGCTGCAATCTGCTCCTCTACAGCCAGAGTGACAGCTGCAGCTGAGAATCTCAGCAGTGTAGGACAAAGTCCTCTGGTCCACAGATTTCCACATAGGAACAGGACCTAGGGCAAATGCAAGCCAAGATCAGAGTTCAG